TCAAGAGTGAAATACTCACGGTGCAATTGCAAACAGTGCCAACAAAGAGAAAAAATAGGACAAGTGCAAAAAAGCCAGAATGGATGTCCAAAGAACTTCTAACTGTGCAAAGACACAAAAGAGACATGCACAAGAAGTGGAGAAAGGGAGAAATCACCAAAGAAGAATTCAAACAAATAGCCAACTCCTGGAGGGAAAAGGTCCGCAAGCACAAAATGAGCTCAGGACAACAAGTTAAATACGTGAGAGGAAGTCACGTGTATAAATACGTGAGAGGAAGCCACAGGGAGGAGGGAGCAAGCTTCCTTTCTGCTTCCCTGGAGACTAGGACGCAATGGAGCAATGGCTTCAAACTACAAGAAAGGAGATTCCATCTGAACATGAGGAAGAACTTCCTGACTGTGAGAGCCGTTCAGCAGTGGAACTCTCTGCTCCGGAGTGTGGTGGAGGCTCCTTCTTTGGAAGCTTTGAAACAGAGGCTGGATGGCCATCTGTCAGGGGTGCTTTGAATGCAATATTCCTGCTTCTTGGCAGGGGGTTGAACTAGATGGCCCATGACTCCCAGGAAGCATATTCGTAGCGTCATAGAATCCCAAAGGCCATCCAGCTCAACTGCCTTCTGCCAGGCAGGAAGGCACAGCCCAAGCCCTCCCGACAGATGGCCATCCAGACTCCGCCAAAAACCCTCCAAAGAAGAAAGGCGTCTCCACTGGACTCACAGGCAGCAGGGGTTCCTCTTCTGAACAGATGCAGAGCAACAGCAAATTCCTCCAGTTCCCTGGGATGCAATTCCTCCGGCCCTACAGATCCAGACTCCTGTAGGTTAACCATGTGGTTCCTGCAATCTGGATCCCTTGCAGAGATTCCTGCTGTTGCATGGAAGCAAACTCCTCTTTGTAGGGAAAGTGAAATAGTTGTCTTTTCTGTAGTGATTGGTTAACCCAGTGCTTCTCAACCTGAGGCTCGGGACCCCTTGAGGGGTCGTGAGGGGGTGTCAGAGGGGTCGCCTCATGACCCCTCAAAGGGTCCCCAGTCCCAGGTTGAGAAGCACTGGGCTAACCAATCACAACAGAAAAGACACCTATTTTCTGATGTTTCCTGATGGTCTTTCCATAAGAAAATACAGTATTTTCTGTTGGTCATGGAGGTTCTATGTGAGAAGAGAGGTGTTTACATTTCATGGAATCAGAATAATAGAATCCTAGAGTTGGAAATGACCTCCTGGGCCATCATCCAGTCCAACCCCATTCTGCCAAGAAGCAGGAAAATTACAGTCAAAGCACCCCCGACAGATGGCCATCCAGCCTCTGCTTAAAAGCCTTCAAAGAAGGGGCCTTCACCACACTCCCTCCGGGGCAGAGAGTTCCGATGCTGAACAACTCTCACAGTCAGGAAGTTCTTCCTCATGTTCAGGTGGAATCTCCTCTCTTGTAGTTTGAAGCCATTGCTCCATTGCGTCCTAGTCTCCAGGGAAGCAGAAAACAAGCTTGCTCCCTCCTCCTCCCTGTGGCTTCCTCTCACATATTTATCCATGGCTATCATCATATCTCCTCTCAGCCTTCTCTTCTTCAGGCTAAACATGCCCAGCGCCTTAAGCCGCTCCTCATAGGGCTTGTTCTCCAGACCCTGGATCCACTTAGTCTCCCACTTGGCATATTGAGTATCCATGCCAAATGTAAGTTGCCCCAAGTCCCTTTGAGGAGATAGAGGTGGGGTAGAAAAATAAACAACTTCTTCTTCTTCTTCTTCTTCTTCTTCTTCTTCTTCTTCTTCTTCTTCTTCTTCTTCTTCAGGTTTGGTCCAGATCCATCACTGTTTGAGTCCACAGTGCTCTCTGGACGTAGGTGAACTACAACTCCCAAACTCAAGGTCAATGCCCACCAAACCCTTCCAGTATTTTCTGTTGGGCATGGGAGGTCTGTGTTCCAAGTTCTGAACTCCGTTGCTGGTGGAGTTCAGAATGCTCTTTGAGTATAGGTTAGCTATAAATCCCAGTAACTACAACTCCCAAATGACAAAATCAACACCCCCTCCCCCAACTGCACCAGGATTCGAATTTGGGTATAATGGATCTTTGTGCCAAATTTGGTCCAGTGAATGAAAATGCATCCTGCATGTCAGATATTTACATGACGATTCATAACAGTATGAAAATTGCAGTTATGAAGTAGCAATGAAAAAAGTGTTATGGTTGGGGGTCACCACAACAGGAGGAACTGTATGAAGTAGGGCTGGGCAACCATGGAAAAATTTGTTTCTAAACTCGATTCGTTTTTTGGGGTTTTTTGCGTTTCGCTATTTAAAAGAATTCCGAAATTTTTCTTTAAAAAAGTTCGATATTTACGAAATTTCGTAAAATTACGAAACGAATACGAATCGATTCGTTAATGGCGGACGCGACTGAGCAATACGCAAAAAAACCTCCATATGGGACAGGGGGAACTTCTGAAGCTTCCCTCTCCCTCTGTTGTTGACTGTTGGTGTGATATTTATAAGTTTTTTTCACTGATTAAACAAACAACAACTATAAAACTTGCCCCAGACATGCGGAAATAATAACGAAACGATTTCGAAACGAATACGAAACGAATACGAAGCAATTACGAAACGAATTGAAAAATTTGTTTCGTTTTTTAGATGCTCCTGAATGGTTCGTTATCGCTTCGTAACCAAAAAAAATTACGAATTTTTAACGAATTACGAAATTACGAAACGAAACCGCCCAGCCCTAGTATGAAGGGGTCGCGGCATTAGAAAGGTTGAGGAACACTAGGTTAGTTCTTTGCGTTCCTTCTGGAGCATCAGCCCCACCGTTTCCTTGGTCTTTCTCCCTTGTTTTGGATTGCGTTGTGCAAGAGGGATGGTGCGCTCCTCTCTTGCAAGGCAGGAGGGAAATGGGGGATCCATTTGGGGTTGTGTGAGAAAGGGAGGCTTTGGTGGACTAAGATGAAGGGGCAAGGGTTTGCAGGATCTGTGGCGGAGGGCTTTGCAGATTGCAATGTGACTATAGATGCCATGTTGCATCCCAGCAACTGGGAAGCAGAGGTGGAGTGGCCCTGAAGGTGGAGGCTCAGCATCATGTTCACAAAATGCGGGCCTTGCTACTTGTAGGGAGAAGGGGAGAACAAGGAACTCCATATCTTTGGCCACTTTGGCCACCTTTCTCTAGACAGCTTCCATCTTAGAATCATAGAATCATAGAATCAAAGAGTTGGAAGAGACCTCATGGGCCATCCAGTCCAACCCCTTGCCAAGAAGCAGGAATATTGCATTCAAATCACCCCTGACAGATGGCCATCCAGCCTCTGCTTAAAAGCTTCCAAAGAAGGAGCCTCCACCACACTCCAGGGCAGAGAGTTCCACTGCTGAACGGCTCTCACAGTCAGGAAGTTCTTCCTAATGTTCAGATGGAATCTCCTCTCTTGTAGTTTGAAGCCATTGTTCTGCGTCCTAGTCTCCAAGGAAGCAGAAAACAAGCTTGCTCCCTCCTCGCTGTGGCTTCCTCTCACATATTTATACATGGCTATCATATCTCCTCTCAGCCTTCTCTTCTTCAGGCTAAACATGCCCAGCTCCTAAGCCGCTCCTCATAGGGCTTGTTCTCCAGACCCTTGATCATTTTAGTCGCCCTCCTCTGGACACATGCCAGCTTGTCAATATCTCTCTTGAATTGTGGTGCCCAGAATTGGACACAATATTCCAGATGTGGTCTAACCAAAGCAGAATAGAGGGGTAGCATTACTTCCTTAGATCTAGACACTATGCTCCTATTGATGCAGGCCAAAATCCCATTGGCTTTTTTTGCCGCCACATCACATTGTTGGCTCATGTTTAACTTGTTGTCCACGAGGACTCCCAAGATCTTTTTCACACGTACTGCTCTCGAGCCAGGCGTCACCCATTCTGTATCTTTGCATTTCATTTTTTCTGCCAAAGTGGAGTATCTTGCATTTGTCACTGTTGAACTTCATTTTGTTAGTTTTGGCCCATCTCTCTAATCTGTCAAGATCGTTTTGAATCCTGCTCCTGTCCTCTGGACTATTGGCTATCCCTCCCAATTTGGTGTCGTCTGCAAACTTGATGATCCTGCCTTCTAGCCCTTCATCTAAGTCATTAATAAAGATGTTGAACAGGACCGGGCCCAGGACGGAACCCTGAGGCACTCCACTTGTCACTTCTTTCCAAGATGAAGAGGAAGCATTAGTGAGCACTCTCTGTGTTCTTGTCCACCTCTCTAGGAGTTGTTTTCCCCAGAACTGGACACTTCCTTCTTTCCTCCCTCCCTCCATTCCTTTGCTTCTTCCCTTCCCTTCCTCCTTCCCTTCCGTTCCTCCTTTCCTTCCTTTCCTTCCTTGCCGGGTGATTCATTTCTCCGATCGCTCTGAGCCTGGCTCACAATTCAAAGGAGCCAAATTAAAAATCCACTCAAATATGAAATCAGGAGAGACGCTCCTCAGACCATCGGTTTATGATTATTTATTAAAAGTATTTATGCATTCCTTCCGCCCACCGGACCCCCTCCCCTCCCAATGCCCCCACCCCGCAGGAGCCAGGAGACGGAGAACAATCCCAGGGAAGGAAGGAATTAACAAAATATGGAAAGCAGCAGCAGCAAAAGAGCACGGAAAGCCTGGCAAAATGGGAAGGATTGCCACTCTCTTGCTTGCCAGGGGGATGTGGGGTGGGAAGCTGGGCTCCCCAGAAAGACAGACGTCCTTTTGGAGGGTCTGGGGGCAGCAAGGGGGGGGGCTTCCATCTCCTCCCCCCTTTGGAAAATGGTAGGTCTGTTATGTGACTGAGTGATGGCCTCAGAGCCTGGCTCCTTTGGGGTCCATTGGTGGGCTCCTGGTTGTTCCTGGTCATGACATTGTGGCCCCTGGACTCGAGGGTCTCTGTGTCCTGTAGGGGAGGGGGTTTGGGGAGATTGTGAAGCAGAGGTCCCTTCGAGACTCCTTCTTGCACCCCCCCCTCCCTGACTGGGCAGCGCATGTGTCTTGCAGACAGCCATGGGCAGGTGTCCCGGGCGCCCCTCCGCATCCGCATCCTGGACGTCAACGACAACCCTCCGGAGCTGGCCACCCCCTTCGAGGCCGCCGTCTGCGAGGATGCCAAGCCCGGGCAGGTGAGGGGAGTGAAGCAAAGATGGGGGGCAAGTGGCATGGTGGGGGCACGTTAGAGTTGCATAAAAGCAAAGGAATTGGCTTAGAGAGGTGGTGGTGGGGTGCTAATGAGGAATGAGGAGAGGGCCAAGTCTGGGAAGCCCCTTCCTCATAATAACAACAACAATATTTTTTTCGTGTCAGGAGCAACTTGAGAAACTGCAAGTCATAATAATAATAATAATAATAATAATAATAATAATAATAATAATAGGGCAAGGGTTGAAATTATTATTATTATTATTATTATTTCTTGCAGTTTCTCAAGTCGCTCCTGACACGAAAAAAAATGTTGTTGTTGTTGTTGTTGTTGTTGTTATCACAACAAGGTAAGTCCACAGAAGACACTGCTGGCTGTTCTATTGGATCACATGTCAGATGATGATGATGATGATGATGATATTATTATTATTATTATTATTATTATTATTATGTTTCTTTATACCCCACTTTTTCATTTCCACAAGGAGACTCTACCCAGCCCAGTCTCTAGTGCTGGAAGGTGTCCAGGAGGGGCTTTGCTTCCTCTGGCTTGTGGGGAGGGGGCTTTCCTTCCCAGCCATGGCACTCATTCCTCTTTCTTCTCAAGGCCCTCTTCCTCCCCCCATCTGGGCTCCCTGAAGCATTTGCTCTGCGTGGCAATGGGGGTGGGAGCAGATGCCTCCCTAGAGCACCAATGGTGGGGTCCCTGCATGAAGCAATTAGAGTAGGGGTCCCGATGGCTGCTTTGGGAGACCAATCTTCCCACTCTGTCCCAACTCTGAAGAGGTGGGACTTTTGGGGAGGGGGCACTGGGGAGGGAGGGGCACATAGACTCCTAGAGTAGGAAGGGGCCTCCTAAGAACATCCAGTCCGACCCCTTTCTGACATTCAGAAGGACACAACCAAAGCCGTCATGACAGATGCTTATCTATTTATCGTGTCAGGAGCAACCAGACAGTTGTATTACATTTTTAACAAAACAAACAAACAGACAAAACACGAAGTTTGCAAGCTTGGTAGTTGATTAGAAAGAGCTGAAAGAGCTCCAGAAAGGGGGCTCCCATGGAGATGGGGTGGGGCTTTCCTCACTGTCCTCCAACCAGAGGAGGGTCTTCCTTGCTCCCCTGAGAGCCTGCCCTCTTTTCTTCGGCAGCTGATCCAGACCATCAGTGTGGTGGACCGGGACGAGCCGCAGGGTGGACATCACTTCTACTTCACGTTGGCCCCGGAGGCTTCGGGTGAACCCCACTTCTCGCTGCTGGACGTCCAAGGTAGGTCCCTCACCCAGGATGGCCCCCTCCACACGCTTGGCACAGTGACCGTGAGACCCCCATTGCCTGGCCAAGGCCTTGCTCTGTGGCCCCACTGACCGCTTCCAGAGCTCAGTGACCGTGAGACCCCCATTGCCTTGCCAAGGCCTTGCTCTGTGGCCCCTCTGACCGCTTCCAGGGCTCAGTGACCGTGAGACCCCCATTGCCTTGCCAAGGCCTTGCTCTGTGGCCCCTCTGACCGCTTCCAGGGCTCAGTGACCGTGAGACCCCCATTGCCTTGCCAAGGCCTTGCTCTGTGGCCCCTCTGACCGCTTCCAGAGCTCAGTGACCGTGAGACCCCCATTGCCTTGCCAAGGCCTTGCTCTGTGGCCCCTCTGACCGCTTCCAGAGCTCAGTGACCGTGAGACCCCCATTGCCTTGCCAAGGCCTTGCTCTGTGGCCCCTCTGACCGCTTCCAGAGCTCAGTGACCGTGAGACCCCCATTGCCTTGCCAAGGCCTTGCTCTGTGGCCCCTCTGACCGCTTCCAGGGCTCAGTGACCGTGAGACCCCCATTGCCTTGCCAAGGCCTTGCTCTGTGGCCCCTCTGACCGCTTCCAGAGCTCAGTGACCGTGAGACCCCCATTGCCTTGCCAAGGCCTTGCTCTGTGGCCCCTCTGACCGCTTCCAGAGCTCAGTGACCGTGAGACCCCCATTGCCTTGCCAAGGCCTTGCTCTGTGGCCCCTCTGACCGCTTCCAGAGCTCAGTGACCGTGAGACCCCCATTGCCTTGCCAAGGCCTTGCTCTGTGGCCCCTCTGACCGCTTCCAGAGCTCAGTGACCGTGAGACCCCCATTGCCTTGCCAAGGCCTTGCTCTGTGGCCCCTCTGACCGCTTCCAGGGCTCAGTGACCGTGAGACCCCCATTGCCTTGCCAAGGCCTTGCTCTGTGGCCCCTCTGACCGCTTCCAGAGCTCAGTGACCGTGAGACCCCCATTGCCTTGCCAAGGCCTTGCTCTGTGGCCCCTCTGACCGCTTCCAGAGCTCAGTGACCGTGAGACCCCCATTGCCTTGCCAAGGCCTTGCTCTGTGGCCCCTCTGACCGCTTCCAGGGCTCAGTGACCGTGAGACCCCCATTGCCTTGCCAAGGCCTTGCTCTGTGGCCCCTCTGACCGCTTCCAGGGCTCAGTGACCGTGAGACCCCCATTGCCTTGCCAAGGCCTTGCTCTGTGGCCCCTCTGACCGCTTCCAGAGCTCAGTGACCGTGAGACCCCCATTGCCTGGCCAAGGCCTTCCTCTGTGGCCCCTCTGACCGCTCCTGTGGCTCCGGTCAGCCCTCCGCGGCCTGACCCCTCCCTTTTGGGAAGCGCTCTGTAAATAACGGCCGGCGGGTGACAAACGGGGCGCCAACGGCCCATCTGTTTCTTTGTACAAATTTGTAGCCGGTTTTGAGATGTGATTTATAAATATTGCTGCCGGAGCCAAGACGAGACACTGATGGATGCCAGAGCAGATGGAGACACAAAGCGCTCACTTAAATCTTCTTCCCCTTTTACGTCCTGCGCTGCTGCGGCAGCACCAACACCAACACCAGCAGCAGCGGCAGAGCGGCAGCTGTGGCAGAAAGTGGCGCACGGAGCGGGTGCCGCGCAAGAGGCCGGGCCCTGCCCTCACTCCTGGCCATAGGGCCTGACTGGCCATGAGGGACTCCCACTAGTGGGGGGCACAGGGGGAGGGGCCACTGCACCAACTGCAGGGCTCCCCAAATAATAAACGTCCAGCAAGTGCAAGGAAAAGGGCACGTCCCTCTCTGGGCTGCTTGACCAAGAGTCAGAAGTCAAAGATACGAAGTGGAGCTGGATTAGTTTACAAAGTGTGTCTCTATGAGAGGAGATTGTGAGGGAGGCTTGGGAGAGGGATCCTCCAGCCCTCTTTGAGCTCTGACTTGGAGGGAGGAGGATAATCATAGAATCCTAGTGTTGGGAGAGATCTGGTGGGCCATCCAGTCCAAGCCCATTCTGCCAAGAAGCAGGAAAATCACATTCAAAGCACCCCCGACAGATGGCCATCCAGCCTCTGCTTCAAAGCCTTCATAGAATCATAGAATCAAAGAGTTGGAAGAGACCTCATGGGCCATCCAGTCCAATCCCATTCTGCCAAGAAGCAGGAATATTGCATTCAAAGCACCCCCTACAGATGGCCATCCAGCCTCTGCTTCAAAGCCTTCAAAGAAGGGGCCTCCACCACACTCTAGGGCAGAGAGTTCCGCTGCTGAACGGCTCTCACAAGGGAGTTCTTCCTAATGTTCAGATGGAATCTCCTTTCTTTCTTGTAGTTTGAAGCCCTTGTTCCATTGCGTCCTAGTCTCCAGGGCAGCAGAAAACAAACTTCTCCCTATTCCCTAGGACATCCCCTCATATTGATACATGGCCCTCATCATGTCTCCTCTCAGCCTTCTCTTCTTCACGCTAAACATGCCCAGCTCTTTAAGCCGCTCCTCATAGCGCTTCTTCTCCAGACCCTTGATCAATTTAGTCGTCCTCCTCTGGACACATTCTGTTGTTGTTCATTTGTTCAGTCATTTCCAACTCTTCGTAACTTCATGGACCAGCCCAGGCCAGAGCTCCCTGTTGGCCATCACCACCCCAGCTCCTTCAAGGTCAATCCAGGTCCTTCAAGGATGACATACGTCCCTCTTGCCCTTGGTCGGCCCCTCTTCCTTTTGCCTTCCACTTTCCCCAGCATCATTCCCTTCTCCAGGCTTTGCTGTCTCCTCATGATGTGGCCAAAGGACTTCATCTTTCCCTCTCGTCTCCTTCCCTCCAGTGAGCAGTCGGGCTTTCTTTCCTGGAGGATGGACTGGTTGGATCTTCTCGCAGTCCAAGGCACTCTCAGCACTTTCCTCCAGCACCACAGCTCAAAAGCGTCTCTCTTCCTTTGCTCAGCCTTCCTTAAGGTCCAACTCTCACATCCATAGGTTACTACGGGGAAGACCATGGCTTTGACTATGTAGATCTTTGTTGCCAGTGTGATGTCACATTCTAGCTTGTCAACACGTCCCTTCCATTGTGGTGCCCAGAATTGGATACAGTGTGATTCCAGGTGTGGTCTGACTAAGGCAGAATAGAGCATGGGGAGCATGGCTTCCCTGGATCTAGACACTAGATCTAGTCACTAATGTTCAGGTAGAATCTCCTCTCCTGTCATTTGAAGCCATGGCTCCAAATGATCCTCGCCAGGACCATCCAGTCCACTCTGTGAAGGAGGCACATACAATCCGAGCCCTCCTGAAAGATGGCCATCCAGCCAATGCTTAAAAGCCTTCAGGGAAGGAGACTCCATTGGATTCCAAAGAAGAGACCCCCAAAAGGCCATCTAGTCCAACCCCCAGAAATAGAAAAGCACCAAGGGCCACCCTGGCATGGCTTAGAGTCAACATCTCCCTTCAATTGTGGTGCCCAGAATTGGACACAGGGTGATTCCAGGTGTGGTCTGACCAAGGCAGAATAGAGCATGGGGAGCATGACCTCCCTGGATCTAGACACTATGCTCCTATGAGGCAGGCCAAAATCCCATTGGCTTTTTTTGCCGCCGCATCACATTCCTGGCTCATGTTTAACTTGTTGTCCACGAGGACTCCGAGATCTTTCATGGGGAGCACCCCTCTCGGAGATCTCCTTCAGAGAAAAGGAGGAGACGTGCCTCTCCTGAGGATCCTGAGAGGGGAGCTTCGAGTCGGGCAGGGTCCCTGGGACCCCCAGTGTGTGCGCATGGCTCTCCTCGTGTGCCACTGGCTCTCAGGTGGTGGCTGTGAGGAGGCCGAGGCCAGCCGTCACAGGACGCAGGTGGGAGCAGAGAGCACCCTTCACCCTTCTCTGCACATGTTAGCGCTGTTCTGCAACCCTGGTGCTGAATGGTCACATTGTGTGCACCAATCCAGGCACCAAATGTGCAAAGGGAAGCACATTGAGATGCATATGCGCACCAGGGGACATCCAGACACAATGGCACCATCTGAGCACCTCTCCCTCCCTAACCTGGAACTGAATTCTGTTGGACTAAAATGCTTCTGGAGTGAGTGTTGCAGATGTGCGTCAGATAATAAGAATCATAGAATCCTAGAGTTGGAAGAGACCTCGTGGGTCATCCAGTCCAACCCCATTCTGCCAAGAAGCAGGAATATTGCATTCAAACCACCCCTGACAGATGGCCATCCAGCCTCTGCTTAAAAGCTTCCAAAGAAGGAGCCTCCACCACACTCCAGGGCAGAGAGTTCCACTGCTGAACGGCTCTCACGGTCAGGAAGTTATTCCTCATGTTCAGATGGAATCTCTTCTCTTGTAGTTGGAAGCCATGGCTCCATTGCGTTCTAGTCTCCAGGGAAGCAGAAAGGAAGCTTGCTCCCTCCTCCTCCCTGTGGCTTCCTCTCACATATTTATACATGGCTATCATATCTCCCCTCAGCCTTCTCTTCTTCAGGCTAAATTGCCTATGGTTCTGAGATGACTTCCGCTAGTTCCTTCAATACTTTTGAGTGTAGTTGATCTGGCCCTGGGGACTTGAACTCATTGAGAGCGGTCAGGTATTCCTGGATGACTTGTTTCCCAATTTGGGGTTGGATGTCCTCTAATCCCTCACCCACTCCGTCTTGCTGAGGTTGAAGATGACTTTCTTTTTGTGAGAAGACCGAGGCAAAGAAGGTATTAAGTAGTTGTGCCTTTTCCCTATCCCCTGTCAGCATTGCCCCATCTTCTCCTCGAAGAGGTCCTATCGCCTCCTTGTTTTTCCTTTTTCTACTGACATAAGAAAAGAATCCCTTTTTATTGTTTTTAATGTCCCTGGCAAGCCTGAGCTCGTTTTGTGCTTTAGCCTTGTGTACCGTTTCCCTACAGGTGTTGGCTATTTGTTTGAATTCTTCTTTGGTGATTTCTCCCTTTTTCCACTTCTTGTCCATGTCTCTTTTTGTCTTAGAAGTTCTTTGGACATCCATTTTAGTTTCTTTGCACTTTTCCTATTTTTTATTTCTCTTGTGGTGTTCTCTCTCTTGCCCCGCTTCTTTGATTCAGCTTGACTATATATGCACTGTTAGTCCTGCCCCACTACCTAGGTGCTTGCCCACTTCTTTTTGCCTCCCAAGGTTGTCTCAGTGAAGCCACAATCAACCCCTCCATCCCTTGAAGGATACTGATACCATGCTCCTCTGCAGCCTTTACTTTGACAGAGCACTGGGGGGCACTGGGGGGTCCCTGGATGGATGGAGGGGTTCATATCTATGGATCTAGTGGGAGGGGGGGTTGGTAGGGGAGGACATGGGGGGGAAGGGGTTGCAGGCCTTTTCAAGAGTGTTTTCCAGTGGGAGAAGGGTACGGGGTGCTGATGGGCCTTCTCTCCCCTGCAGACAACACGGCTGCGGTGCACACCCAGCGTCCAGGGTTCAACCGCCAGGAGCAGGACCTCTTCCTGCTGCCCATCCTGGTGGTGGACAGCGGCCCGCCCGCCCTCAGCAGCACCGGCACCCTCACCATCCGGGTCTGCGGCTGCGACAGCGCCGGCGCCATCCAGTCCTGCAACGCCACCGCCTTTGCCGCCGCCTCCTCGCTCAGCCCCGGGGCCCTCATCGCCCTCCTGGTCTGCGTCCTCATCCTCATCGGTGAGTGGACCCTCCCCTTACGGTCTCAACCCCCTCCTCCAAAACAAAGGGCCCTTTGCTTGCCCTCCTGATGGCTCTCCCCACCCAACCACCCACCAAGACATCAGCCTCTCAGGTCCCTGCCTTTGCAGGCACGCCTTGACTGGCAGATGCCATCGACATGCATTGGTTGCTTATGAGGATTGGGGGGGGGGGGGCAGCCCTGGCATCTTCCTTGGCCACTGTCCTTACATTGAGCACTCCTGTGTCCCGAATGGGCTGAATGTGCCTCTCTTTCCTGGGGTGGGGCTGGTGTCATCCATAAGGGGCAACAAACCCACCATTGTATTTGGAAAGGGATTCATTGTCTTGCAAGGAGTTAATGGTTTTCCCTTGCTTTCATTCCCTTTCCTTCTTCCTTTATTCCTTTTCTTTCTCCCTTACTCCTTCCCTCCCTTCCCATCCTCTTTTCTTCCTCCCTCCCTCCCTCCCTTTTTCCTGCCTTCCCTCTTTTCTTCTTCCCTTCCTCCTTCCCTTCTTTCCTTCCTATGTTCTTCCCTCTCCCCTTCCCTTTCCTCTTTCCTTCCTTCCATCCTTCCCTCTTTCCTTCTATTTTTTACTCTCCTCTCTCTTCTTTCCTTCCTTGCTTCCTTTCCTTCCACTCTCCCTCCCTCCCTTTCCTCTTTCCTTTGTTCCTTTCCCTTTCCCTCCATCTTTTACTCCTCCCTCCCTCCCTTCCTTCTTTCCCTCCTTTCCGTCCTTCCTTCCTTCCTTCCTTCCTTCCTTCCTTCCTTCCTTCCTTCCTTCCTTCCTTCCTTCCTTCCTTCCTTCCTTCCTTCCTTCCTCTCACTCCATTCCTCTCTCCCTCCCTCCATTCCTCTTTTCTTATTTCTCCTCCTTCCCTCCCTCCCTCACTCCCTCCCTCCCTCCCTCCCTCCCTCTCCCTCCCTCCCTCCTCTTCCTTCCTTCTCCTTCCTCCTTCTCTTCCTTCCTTCCTTCCTCCCTCTTCCTTCCTTCCTCTCCCCCTTCCTCTCTCCCCCCTCCTTCCTCTCTTCTCTTCCTTCCTCCCTCCCTCCATCCCTCCCCCTCCCTCCCTCCTCCCTCCCTCCCTCCCTCCCTCCTTCCTTCCTTCCTTCCTTCCTTCCTTCCTTCCTCCCGCCCTCCTTCCTTCCTTCCTTCCTCTCCTTCCTTCCTCTCTCCCTCCCTCCATTCCCTCTCTTCTCCCTCCCTCCCTCCCTCCCTCCCTCCCCTCCCCTCCTTCCTTCCTTCCTTCCTTCCTTCCTTCCTTCCTCCCTCCTTCCTTCCTTCCTTCCTCTCCCTCCTCCTTCCTCTCTCCCTCCCTCCTTCCTCTTTCTTTCTCCTCCCCCCCTCCCTCCCTCCTTCCCTTCCTTCTCTTTCTCCTTCCTTTCCTTCCTTCCTTCCTTCCTTCCTTTCTTCCTTTCTCCCTTTCTCCTCCCTCCCTCTCTTCCTTCTTCCTCTTTCCTCTTCTCCCTCCTTTCCTCTCCTTTCTCTCCTTCTTCCTTCTTCTTTCCTCCTTCCTCTTTTCCTCCTTTCCTTCCTTCCCTCCCTCCTTCCCCTCCTCTTTCCTTCCATCTCCATCCTTCTCTTCCTCCTTTCCCTCCTCCTTCTTTTTTCCCTCCTTCCTCCTTCCTCCTTCCCTCCCTCCTTCCCGTGCAGTGCTGGTGCTGCTGATCCTGACGCTGAAGCGCCACCAGAAGGGCCACTTGGCCTCGGAGGAGGACGAGGACATGCGCGACAACGTCATCAAGTACAACGACGAGGGCGGCGGAGAACAGGACACGGAGGCCTACGACATGTCTGCGCTGCGCAGCCTCTACGACTTTGGGGGGGAGGGCAAGGGGGGCGGGGGCGAGGGGGGTGGCGGGGGGGCCCTCCCCTCGGAGCTGCTGCCCCTCCCGCAGGGGACCCCCCCTCCGCTGCCGCCGGCCCCCGACCTGGACTTCTCCCTCTTCCGGGACTACATCAGCCGCAAGGTGGGCCAGGCGGACCGGGACCCCTCGGTGCCCCCTTACGACTCCTTCCAGACCTACGCCTTTGAGGGGGGGGAGGGCTCCCCGCCCGAGTCGGCCCTCAGTTCCATCGCCTCGCGCTCCTCCTCGGCCTCCGAGGAGCAGGACTTCTCCTTCTTGGGCGCCTGGGGGCCCCGCTTCCGGCAGCTGGCCGCGCTCTACGCCGGGGGTCGGCGCCGCGAGGACGACAAGGACCAGAGCCAGAGTAGTGGCAGCGGCAGTGGCAGCAACGGCGGGCAGCCCTAGCCCCCCTAGCCCCCCGAGGCAGAGCCAAACGGCCCAGTCCGACTGCCCACCGGACAAGGGGCGGAGGGCCACTGGGGCTCCTCTGGGGCCACCGACCGCGCAGGCGCACCACGGTCCGGCCACCTTGGCCCAGGCTGCATTGAATGCAAAGGGAAGCGGGAACGGCCTGGAAGAAGAAGGGATGCGGTCCAAGAGGAAGAGGAAGAAGGGGGAAAGAGACAGATGGATGGGTGTGTGCCGGCCAGAGCTGCCGATTATCATTTAAATGGACTTGGGGAGCCTGGCTGACCAGGAGGAGAGAGAGAGAAGGAGGCCGGCGGGTGGGGAGCGCTTGGTTGCCCAAATGGCTTCTGTCACTGGATTCCCTGCTTTGGACGCGCTCCCAAGAGCCCTCACTCGCTACCTCTGACCAATGCCCCACAAACCTTCCCTGGGGTCTCCTGCTTGAGAGACCCTCCCCACTGTTGTGTGTCTGGGGAAGGGGGGCTGGGGTGGCCATTGGGGGTCCGTTGTGTGGGTGGAGGGGGTGGAGCACAGCGGCGACCAAGAGCCCTCTCTCGCTACCTCTGCCCCATGCCCCACAAACCTTCCCTGGGGTCTCCTGCTTGAGAGACCCTCCCCACTGTTGTGTGTCTGGGGAAGGGGGGCTGGGGTGGCCATTGGGGGTCCGTTGTGTGGGTGGAGGGGGTGGAGCACAGCGGCGACCAAGAGCCCTCTCTCGCTACCTCTGCCCCATGCCCCACAAACCTTCCCTGGGGTCTCCTGCTTGAGAGACCCTCCCCACTGTTGTCTGTCTAGGGAAGGGGGGGGGGGGGCTGTGGTGGCCATTGGGGGTTCGTTGTGTGGAGGGGGGATTCCAATCTCTGGCATTTGGGAGAAAAGCCTTCCCTTGCTCCCCGTTGGTGGGGAGGGGGCCGTTCTCAGGGTCTTCTCGCCCAGCATCATCCCCCTCCTTCCCCCTCCTCAAAGATCCGGCCTTCCTCTCCTGCTTGAGAGACCCTCCCCACTGTTGTCTGTCTGGGGAAGGGGTGGGGGGGGGATTCTGGGTGGCCATTGGGGGTCCCTTGTGTGGGTGGAGGGGTGGAGGGGGGATTCCAAATTCTGTCATTTGGGAGAAAAGCCTTCCCTTGCTCCCCGTTGGTGGGGAGGGGGCCGTTCTCAGGGTCTTCTCGCCCAGCTAGTATCCCACTCCTTCCCCCTCCTCAAAGATCCGGCCTTCCAAGACTTCACTGCACCCCAAGGATGGAGAAGGGCCTCCTGGTCCTGGGAGGCAGGGGCTTCCTAGCAGGGCCCCCTTGCTTCCCAGCCCAGAAGGGGGGGGTCATCACTGGGGGGGCTGTGGGGAGAGAAGGCAGGAGAGGGGAAGAGGGCCCAGGGCATAGTCAGGGGTTCCTCTTCCAGGCCCCTCCCCATAGATTGCCTCCTTCTCAGGGTTCCTCTCTGGTGTTTTTGGGCATTTGGGTGGGCAAGCAGGTGGGGAGGGGGGGCGTTGCTTTGGCCTCCAAACCTGGCCCACTCCTCCCATTGTCCCTTCACTGTGATGCCCCCTCCCCAGTTAGGGACACATCCAAAGGTGGAGGCTGCTTCCTTTCTTCTTTCCTTCCTTCTTTCCTTTGCTTCCTTGCTTCCTTCCTTGCTTCCTTCCTTCTTTTCCTTCCTTCCTTCCTTCCTTCCTTCCTTCCTTCCTCTCTTTCTTTCTTTCTTTTCCTTTTCCTCCTCCCTCTTCTTCTTTTTCTTCCTTCCTTCCTTCCTTCCTTTCCTCCCTCTTCCCTCCCTCCCTCCCTCCCTCCCTCCTCTTTCTTTCTTTCTTTCCTTCTTCCCTCCGTTCCCTTTCTTTCATTTCCTTCCTTCTTCCTTCCTTCCTTCTTTCTTTCCAGTGTCAGCTTTGTCTTTCTGACATTCAGAGAGATGGCAGAACCTGAAGACGTTCTCCAGCGAGAGATGGCGGTTGTTTGCAAGGTGATGGAAGATTGCTGTTCCCTTTCTTTCATTTACTTCTTCCTTCCTTCCTTCCTTCCTTCCTTCCTTCCTTCCTTCCTTCCTCCCTTCCTCCCTCCCTCCCTCCCTTCCTTCCTTCCTTCCTTCCTTTTTTGCTTCCTTGCTTGCGTCCTTTTGTCCTTCCCTCCTTCCTTCATTGCTTCCTTTCTTCCTTCCTTCCTTGCTTCCTTCCTTTCTTCTTTGCTTCCTTCCTTCCTTCCTTGCTTCCTTCCTCATTTCCTCCCTCCCTCCCTCCCTTCCTTGCTTGCTTCCTTGCTTTCTTTCCCCATCTCTCCCTCCCTTCTTTCCTTCCTTCTCTATCCTTCCTTCTTTCCATCCTTCTTTCCTTCCTGCCTTTCCTTCTTTCATTCCTTCCGTCTCTTTCCTTCTTTCCACCCTTTTTTCTTTCTTTTCTTTCCATCTTTCTTTCTTTTCCTCTTCCTTTCCTTCCTGCCTTCCTTTTTTTCTTTCCCTTCCTTCCTTTTCTTTCCTTCTTTCTTTTCCTCCTTCCTTCCCTTCCTTCTCCTTCTTCCTCTTCTGTCTCCTTCCTTCCTTCCTTCCTTCCTTCCTTCCTTCCTTCCTTCCTCTTCCTCCTCCCCCTCCTCAGGAACTTTTTCTGTGCTAGCCCCCCCCCCCCATGTGTACATGTGTGTGTATGTTGCGGGGAGGCCACCCCGTGTGCGCATGATGTTTTCCAGGTGGGCCACTGGCCAAACAGGGTATGTATCTGACCGACACTCCTCCGGCCCCTTCTCAGCTGATGATTTCCATCCTGCTTCCTTCCAGTTTGGGACTCAAAGCGGCTTTACGAGACCTTTCCATATTCCTAAGCGGCAAAACAGAATGAGTAGGAACAGCTCATGCCAGGTGATGTTGACCCCCACCCACCCATGCCCCACCCTCCTGCAGTGACCCCCTCCCCTGTACATAGGGCACCCCTATGCGCCCCACTCCTCCTCCTGCCCCCCCTAATGCAAAGCCCTCCCCCAAAGACTCGGCTGCCCTCGGGGGCCATGGTGAGAAGAAGCCCCCCCCTCCTGCGCCTCCTCTTGGGTATTTTCACAGGGTTGTTCAGGGACCTGGAAATAAAAGGATTTCCTTGTCATCTTCCCAGAGTCCTTGCTGCTTATTTCCTTTGCTCCCCGCTCACCCCCAAAGGGAGGAGAGTGCATGTGTGTGTGTGTGTGTGTGCGTATGTGCAAAAGATCATGGGATCCTAGAAATGGGAGG